CCAGTGCAACCAAATAAATAAATAAATATTAAAACAACACCACCACCACCATATGATCATCTCAATAGGTGCAGAAAAAGCTTTTGACAAAATTCAACACCCATTTATGATAAAAACTCTCCAGAAGGTGGGCATAGAGGAAACCTACCTCAACATAATAAAGGCCATATACGAGAAACCCACAGCAAACATCATTCCCAATGGTGAAAAACAAAGCATTTCCTCTAAGATCAGGAACAAGACAAGGATGTCCACTCTCACCACTATTATTCAACATAGTTTTGGAAGTCCTAGCCACAGCAATCAGAGAAGAAAAAGAAATAAAAGGGATACAAATAGGAAAAGAAGTAAAACTGTCACTGTTTGCAGATGACATGATACTATACATAGGTAAATCTGAAGATGCCACCAGAAAACTACTAGAGATAATCAATGAATCTGGTAAAGCTGCAAGATACAAAATTAATGCACAGTAATCTCTTGGATTCCTATACACTAACAACAAAAGATCAGAAAGAGAAATTAAGGAAAATTAAGAAATTAAGGGGAGGCGGGGCTGGTGGTAGTGGTGGGATGAATTGGGAGATTGGGATTGACATATATACACTAATATGTACAAAATAGATAACGAATAAGAACTTGCTGTATAAAAAATAAATAAATAAAATTTTAAAAAATGTATCTTAGTGGAAAAAAAAAAGTAAACAGCAACATACTGGACCCCCTTCAAAAAAAATCTCCACAGTAATCATAATCTACTATCAACAGCAACATAACGCATGTCAAAGTTTTACAGATCAGAGAAAAATACAAAACCAGCTTTAAGAGACATATGGGGACAACTGGGGAAATGTGTTACGGAATGGGATTCAGGTGGTGATGGAATAATGTACGTATATTTTAAGGTGTGATAATGACGCTTCCATTATGTAGGAAAATATCATTCTAGGACAGGTTTGCTGAGCTGTCACAACCTCTAGGAGGCACTCTTGAATCCCAGTGCGCGCGCACACACAAAGACTACAAAATCAGTTGAATCTTAAGCAGAGGGTATACGGGTGTTCAGTGTATTTTTCTTTCAACTTTTCAGTATGTGCACGCATTTTCAAGTTAAAAATCTGGGAGAAGGGATGAAATGAGAGAGTAGCATTGACATATATACATTACCAAATGTAAACTAGATAGCTAGTGGGAAGCAGCAGCATTGTACAGGGAGATCAGCTTGGGGCTTCGTGACCACCTAGAGCAGTGGGATAGGGAGAGTGGGAGGGAGGGAAACGCAAGAGGGAGGGGATATGGGGATATGTGCATACATATAGCAGATTCACTTTGTTATACAGCAGGAACTAACACAACATTATAAAGCACTTATACTCCAATAAAGATGTTAAAAAAAAAATTCTGGGAGAAGGAAAAATCAGTTGTATATTTAGTGTGTGGGCATGATCTAGTCAGTAATCTCTGTGAAGATATGCAAGTTTCAACCCAAGCTGGCATTGTCCATTAGGCCCACCAAATGGTTGAACCAAAAGGCTGAACTGCACTTGAGGTACTCGATTCAGTTCTGGGTGCTGGATGTAAAAATGGGCCCTACTCACTGAGGGCAGGCTGGAGGGCAAGCAGCAAGTGAAGGAGCTGGAATCACCTCAGTGAAACTCAGGAGAACACAGGACTGTCTTCAAATAGGAGGGTAGGAAAGGTTTGTCCTGTGCTCTGCACCTTAAGGCAGAAGTCACAAACAACTAAATTTCAGCTCCATGTGGAAAATAACATACGAACCAGGCTTCCAACTATGGAACGGGCTCTGGTGTGAGGCCACGATTTGTCAGGGATGGTGAGGAAAGGATTCCTGGCTGTGCGAAAGGGAGACCAGTGATTCACAGCCTGGCTTTGCTTTGGAATCACAGGAAGGATTGTTTAAAAAGGTAAATATCGGGCTTCCCTGGTGGCGCAGTGGTTGAGAGTCCGCCTGCCGATGCAGGGGATACGGGTTCGTGCCCCGGTCCGGGAAGATCCCACATGCCACGGAGCGGCTGGGCGCGTGAGCCATGGCCGCTGAGCCTGCGCGTCCGGAGCCTGTGCCCCGCAACGGGAGCGGCCACAACAGTGAGAGGGCCACATACCCCCAAAAAAAAAAAAAAAGGGAAAAATAAGAAAAGGGGGGGGGGCCCCGGAATCTTTTTTTTTTTTTTAAAAAAAAAAAAAAGGGAAAAATAAGAAAAGGGGGGGGGGCCCCGGAATCTTTTTTTTTTTTTTAAAAAAAAAAAAAAGGGAAAAATAAGAAAAGGGGGGGGGGCCCCGGAATCTTTTTTTTTTTTTTAAAAAAAAAAAAAAGGGAAAAATAAGAAAAGGGGGGGGGGCCCCGGAATCTTTTTTTTTTTTTTAAAAAAAAAAAAAAGGGAAAAATAAGAAAAGGGGGGGGGGCCCCGGAATCTTTTTTTTTTTTTTAAAAAAAAAAAAAAGGGAAAAATAAGAAAAGGGGGGGGGGCCCCGGAATCTTTTTTTTTTTTTTAAAAAAAAAAAAAAGGGAAAAATAAGAAAAGGGGGGGGGGCCCCGGAATCTTTTTTTTTTTTTTAAAAAAAAAAAAAAGGGAAAAATAAGAAAAGGGGGGGGGGCCCCGGAATCTTTTTTTTTTTTTTAAAAAAAAAAAAAAGGGAAAAATAAGAAAAGGGGGGGGGGCCCCGGAATCTTTTTTTTTTTTTTAAAAAAAAAAAAAAGGGAAAAATAAGAAAAGGGGGGGGGGCCCCGGAATCTTTTTTTTTTTTTTAAAAAAAAAAAAAAGGGAAAAATAAGAAAAGGGGGGGGGGCCCCGGAATCTTTTTTTTTTTTTTAAAAAAAAAAAAAAAAAAAAAAAGGTAAATATCAGTAAAGGGAGTGGGGCCCTGGAATCTTTTTTGTTTTTTAACAACTTTGTTGAGATATAATTTACTACCATAAAATTACTTGAAGAGTATAATTCAACGCTTTCTGGTATTTACAGAGTTGTGCAACCATTACCATAATCCAATTTTAGAACATTTTCACCGCCCCCAGGTAATTCTTATACCCGTTAGCAGTCACCCTCCATCCCACTCCCTAGCCCTTGGCAACCACAAATCTACTTTGTGTCTCTATGGATTTGCCTATGGAATTCATATTTCTAAATGCACTTCCAGGCGACTCTCATTGCATGGATCCATGGTTGGGCATTTGGGAGTCACTGGACCAGACTATTCCAAGATCATTCCCTAGTCTAAGCTTCCATAGCACAGGATGACAAGTGCTGACTACATCCAAGTAGCAAGCACTTTGCTCAGTGCTGGGGCTCCAAAAGAAATACAGTATAACCCTGCCCTTCAGAACCTACAGATGGTGGGAAAACCAGAATATACCAATAACTTTTCTCTGAGGTAAGGGGAACTATTCAAAACTATTACTGCAATGAGGGGAGGAAGACTACTGCAAAAGGAGAGTGCTCCGTTAACAGACTGTAAGATCTGTGAGTACCTCCTAAACTGATAACTTTAACACAGTGTGAGAAGTACTGTAATAGCACAAGCATAAGAAACAGGCCTGGGCCAGAGACAAGGGGGTGGTTAATTTTGCAGGTACACAAAGGTATAGAGCAATGGGAACAAGTGAACTGGGTATTGAGAAGCGAGAAGTCATCCTCAGAATTAACAGTGGCTTAGCATTTAATTTTTGAGGGCTTACCACATGCCCATTATGCTAATTGCTTTCCATACATGATCTCAATTATTCCTCACCAAACTCTGAGTCAGGTATCAATATATTTCTGCTGAATTTTGACTAAAGGATCTTCCAAGTAAAGCACAAAGACGATGAGGCAGGAAGGTAGTAGCTTTGGGATCAGGCAGAGGAGCAGGGAGGGGGAAATGCTGAAGCTGCAGAGCAGAGGTTTCCTCGTCAAGCTCTTCTTTAGCCAAGGCTTCCTGAGCTGTTGACTCCAAAGGAATCGTGGGCACGCTGTTCATTCATTCACGTATCTATTCGATCGTCTTCTATGTGTCAGGCATTGAACTAGGTGCAGAGGCTACAACCGGTGGGCAAGACAGCATGGTTCCTACCATTGTGGAGTTTACATTCTGGTAGGGGAGACACACAGGCCAATTCCATCCCAGTGTGATAAAGAGGAATGAGAGGGTGCTGAGAGCAACTCCTGGTCTTGCAGGATGAAGGGGGGCTTACTGGAGGACCTAAGAGATGAGGAGGAGTTAGCCAGGAAGAACATTCCAGGAGAGGAAACATCACTGCTAAGGTCAGGCAGGCAGATACAGCAAGGCATGTTTGAGGAAGCCAAAGGCCTCTGGAGTGGAGAGTGGGTGAGGAGCGGGTGGCAGCCAGAGGTGAGCCTACAGGGAGTTACGTTAAGCAGGGGTCAGATCACGAACGGCCTTTATGCCCTGTCCGTGAGTGTCACCTTTATTTACCATGAGATCACAGGATAGGCACTTAAGTGTCTTAAGTGGACTAGGTGGTGACCTGCTCACATTTGGTTTTTAGAAAAACTGCTCTGATGGCAGCATGGAGAAGGGACCCAGGAAAGATTCTGCCTGTCACCTACAGGAGAGGTAACAGTGGCACAGCCAGGGAAGGGACAGCAGTGATGCAGACAAGTGGATAGATAAGACTCCAGTGATTTTAGGGGGGAGAAAAAGTGGAGTTCGTGTGTGACCTGCTGTGAGGGGTCTGGGAAGACAGAGATTTCCAGCTTGGGCAACTTGAGGGTGTGTTGCTGTGGGCCCCTGACATGGGGAGCCCAAGATAACGGCCCAACTTGGAGATCATGAGTTTATTTGGACGTAAGTCACAGAATGACTTCAGTTCTTGTCCCCTATCCTCTTTTTTTCAAAGGCTTCCCAACTCATTAATGAACTCCCACGAAAGGAGAAGCGGGGTTCTACCCTAACACTGTTCCCTGTCCAGAGCCCCACCTCTCTCACTAATGCACCCCGGGGCCCAGCGTAGCGGCCCCTGGCCAGCGTCCCCCCGGGGTTACCTCGAGCTCAGGGTAGCTGAGCACCACCAGGGAGGCGCAGGCGCTGACACTGTCGCCCTTCACAAAGGACACATCCACGCCCCCGACCCTCTGCAGACCCGAAAAAGCGGGGTCCCGTTGCCACGCCTCCGTGTCCCGGTCCACGACAAGTGTCTTCAACAAGGCTTGCTCCCTGAGGGCAGAAACAGGTCCAGCGGGCCGCCCAGCCCAGATCCCCCCCACCCCGCGGTACGGCTGCGGCCGCCCACACACGGAGCATCCAGGCCCGGGGTTCGGGGCTCTACCCGGGGACCCTCTCGGTCTCACCCCCTCCCTTCCCTGGGTCCCAGACGCGTCGCCGGAAGCTACAGCTCCCGAACGCCCTTTCGCCCGCACGCCGGAAACGGTCGCAGGCCCCCGCGGCCCCAAGCCGGGGATTAAGAGGTCGGAGGTCCGCTGGGAACTTCGTCGCTCCAGTCCCCGGATCTTACGCGTCCTCTGGCCCCATTACCGTTTCCAGAGCCACAGCGCTTCCTCCGGCGGCCTCCCAGACGCCTTTCGGGCCATGGCGCGGCCGTGACCGCCCCTTCCTCTGGCGTCACTTCCGGAGCGCCGCGCGCAGGCGCCGGACCGCATCGTTGCCATGGTGGCGCTCAGGTCGGGATCCCCGACGTCGCCGCCTTGTGGCTTGAGGCCCTGCTGGGGACCAGCGGCTCGGGAGTAGCGGCCGCCGACCTCAGAGTCAGCCTTTCCCCGCAGCCGTGGGGGAAGGAAAGTTGTCCCCGTCCAGGGCCCCTGACGGGATCTGAAAGTTACACTGACAAACAGATCTGCAGGAGAAAAGCACGTGTACACATTTTACTGAATTTCTACACGTACATGACACCTTTCACCGGAGAGTGGAGACCTGAAGAAGTGACCAGAGCGGGAAGCTTTATACCCTTTGGATAAAGAAACAATGAATTTGTGAAGAATTGTTAAGGCAGAGGGGTTTGGGCTGTGGGTAGTAAATGGTGAAACCAGATGGAGGTTTGCTCACCTTCTTGGCCTTAAACGCCCTGTCTCTGGTGATGAGAATGTCTCTCTCCCTCCTGGTACAGGGAGGGGACCTTTCACGTGGGAGATTTGGAGTGAAAAATGGGAGAAGCAGGAGTGATCTTGCTGCTTCTGCCGTTTTCTCGAATTTCTCCGGCTTAAGATCAATACGCCAATGTACCATATTTTGGAGTAGTGTGTCCTAAACGCCATCACCAAGCATCTGCCGCTTACATGACACCTTGACCTCCGTTTCAGGGACTCTTTTTGAGGACAGGACACAGTCCTTAGTGGGGCCAGACTCGTAAATTTGACCCGGTGGATCTTGGTGAGCAGAAAGACTTACTACGGACAACCTGTGGAACATTGACTGACCCCTGCTCTTCAATTGAATGAATAGTAATTCCATTCTCTTTGTGCCAGGTGTTGTGTGAGATGCTGGGGTTACAGCTTCCTCATGGTGGAACTGCAATTGTGTTAAGTGCTGGAGTGAAAATAATATGGGAGCATTTCAAGGTCTGAGGTAGCAAAGAGGCTGGTGTATTTGATGTACTGAAAGGCAGCCAGCTAGGCTGAAGTGTAGCAATTTAACCCGTGGTTTATATTCTACTAGGGGAATTAAGAGAAGTATATGGATAAGTAATCTAGTCTGAATAAAGACCTCAAGAGGAAAATACAGGATTGGAGTCTGAGGTTCAGGAAAAGCTTCATATGGCATTTGACCACTGGCGGCAAATGGGAGAGCCAAGATTTACTCTGCGGTCCATCTGGGCTGTACTGTGTGTCAGCCTTGTTGTGTTACAGAGCAGTCAGGACACAGAGGCATTTCGGTTTAGTAATCAGGAGTCAGTCACTCCACAGGAGTCACTCCATCTCCACAGGAGGCAGTTACTGGGTGCTGAGGAAGGAGCAGTGCTCTCTGGGTTGAGGTTCTGATGTGCTTCAGGGTACAGGCGTGGTGATGGGGAAGGAATGCTGGGGCATGTGTAACACTCCAAGTGGGTCTACGTGTGAAGGAAGGGGAGCAGGGTTGAAGGCAGGCCTTTATAGGATATGCAGTCGCAGGGGTGGCTTCCATGTGCTCCAGCTGGGCCCTTTCCCCTCCAGTTTCTCTCTGCTCTTGCCCCAGATGGCTTCCCAAAATAATCCCAGCTCCTCAGAAGGAAGCACAGTCCTGCTGTCCCCAGAATACACTTCAGTCTGAGGAGGTTTCAATCTTGTCAGCATTTGCTTTCTTGGAGGAAGGCACTTTCTTGGTGTTTTTCCAGTTGAAAATGAGATCCATAATGTTTGAGCAGGGGATTAATTAGTGAAGAGAGGGATTAGAAAGAGCAGGAAGCAATAAAAATGCTAATCATGGTTGGATGGATTGTTATTCAGCTCAAGGCCTCAGGCTTTCTACCTTCTCATCTAGTGTCTCTCTAGACCCAGCTGATACAGCGACCCTACACTTGTTGCGAACATATGAAGTCAGAGATGCAGCAGTGCCCTTGCACGGGGCTGGACATGGGTAGCTTTACCTACTGAGCAAAGCCCTTTCTTCACAGTGATTGTTTATCACTAGAAGTTTGTTTCCGGGTTGAAATTGCCTGAACCTAGGAGTGACTGAAATAGCTCATGACTTGTCTCAGTTAACATGTGAGGAAATCCTACAGCCACTGATGAAAGGTAAATAATTTACACACATAGTAAGGTCTTAGAAAGAAGGAGACAGTGATCAGTTGTGAAGATTTTCAGATTAAGTCATCACCAACCTAGTGAATGTTTCCTCCTGGGCTGAAAGAAGACAGAACTGTGGAGCAGGAACAATCCAGAATATGAATGGAAACGAGAATGAGTAGGCAGGGCTAGAGGGGAAGGTCAGGGTCAGTGAGGAGCTACTGAGGAAGGGAGAGTAGGCGGACTTGACACAGACGCTGTGGGGAAGAAGACGCGGCGGGGGGGGGGGGGGGGGGGGGGGGGGCGCCGCGCGTCTCCTTCGTGAACCAGCGCCTCTTCTTGCTGCGGTTCCAGACCATGGGGTTCTCTCCTGGAGGAACCTCTTCATTTTAGAAGAGGAAAATGCAGTTTTCCCCTAAAGCAGTGTTTTGCCACGGGAACAAAAGTGGGCTGCTGGAAGTTTACTGTTTCTCCCTCAAGTGTCTATTTCCTTTTCCTGAGGAGCTGTTTGCCCATCCCACAGCCCAGCCCCCTGACAGAATCAGCTGTTACTCATCATTGGCTGGAGCTCTGCTATCCTCCAGGAAAGTCCTGTTAGGCAGGGAGTGGGAGGGCAGCCCTCTAGGATTAAGCTTTAGCCCCTGAGCCTGGCGACGGGGGAGCAGTGTGAAACTCCACCTCAGCTCTGCTGTCATTTTGTCCACAGGAAAAGTTTACCCTGTCACATTCTAAACCAGAGTGTATGTTTTCTGTCAAGAACCTTCCACTTTGGGACTTCCCTGGTGGTGCAGTGGTTAAGAATCCGCCTGCCAACGCAGGGGACACGGGTTTGATCCCTGGTCCGGTAAGATCCCACATGCCACGGAGCAACTAAGCCCGTGCGCCACAACTACTGAGCCTGCACTCTAGAGCCCGCGAGCCACAGCTACTGAGCCCACGTGCCACAACTACTGAAGCCCATGCGCCTAGAGCCCAGGCTCAGCAACGAGAAGCCATTGCAATGAGAAGCCCATGCACCACAACGAAGAGTAGCCCCTGCTCGCCACAACTAGAGAAAGCCCACGCACAGCAACGAAGACCCAATGCAACCAAAAATAAATAAGAAAAAAAAGAACCTTCCACTTTATGGACACCCGTGCAAGGACATCTCCACGAACACATGAAACCATTCCCCAAAGCCTCTTCCCCAAGGAGGATTCTTTAGCAGCAAAACTCAAGTTTATTAAAACAGCTATGACAAGTATAACAAAATTTACACCTGCCTGTGGTAGGCCAGTGTATTTCTGTACAAACAACAAGATAATGCTAGATAATGACAGTTAACACTTTGAAAGCATAGCATACAAAACAACATTATCTTCATCAAAAAAAAAACAACCTTCATAAAAGTGGGAAAAAAAATTCTCCCCCCCACCCACCAAAGGAGGTCTTCACAGGCTGGCCAGCTCCATCCCAACTCTGAGGTATCAAAGGAGTTCCAAGTGCAAACTGAAGGGATGAACAAGCAACTCCCCCACTCTCACATCCATTAAATGCACAATCCAGCTGATATTGTGGCAGAGTGCCTTTGCATGGAATGATTCAACAATCATAGGTTACTACATGAGAGTGGATATTGTATCAAATCCTGGATTCCTGTGCTCCCCTTTATCAAACATGGTGAAGAGAAACCAAAATAATAGAAATGGGGCACGGATCCTTCTATGGCTCCCTCCAGTGGTGCTGAAGGGCCCATGGTGTCCTTGGCGAGCATTTTCTATTTTTGTAGCTCTCCCCATTCCATGGGCCCAATTTCAAGTTGACTGAGTCATCATCTCATTCAGAATATGTATGAAAAGACATTTACCTCTGACCTGTAAACAGCTGTCATCCCAGGGCTAACAGGTGCTAAGCTATCTAGGAATAGGAATTAGTCCAGAGAGGTCAGAAGCATCAAGTAGATTTTGAAAAAAAGGCACAACGCAGTGAGAAAAGCAGCACAAGATCAGGGTGTGTTGACTATTCTTTATTTCCTTTTTCAGAAATGTGACTGGTTTTATATTCTCTCTGAGTGTGAATATGCCTTGGCTGAGACCCAAAGAAAGGACCAGATAGTCATACACTTGGGGAAATCAAGACCACACTAAGAGTTCATGTTTATTTGGCAGAATGGTAGAGAGGCAAAAACTTCCCCAAGAAATGCCAGAACCATGCCTTTGATCCAAATTTACACTGATAAACTTTCATTTAGAATTTACTAGAATACCAGAACTGGAAGGAAATCAAACTAAGACACCGAAATTGTCCTTGACTCTTGGCCCAGTGCTCTTCACAATGAAAGCTTGTGGGCTCTGACCCTTGAAATTTGGCAGTGACTCATTTGCGGGCTTGGGTGAGGGCTGGCTAGTTTGGCCTCACGGCACTCACAGAATGCCCTGACTTGTATTTGTGAGAAGACAAAAAAGAGTCTGGCACTTTTTCATATCTTCTTGAAAACCTAGAAATATTTGTATAGTTTTCTGAATTTAAAGGAATGGAAGAAAGAAGAAAGCCAGATTCTCGTTTGTGAGTGCAGAACAAACTAGAAAAGAAGACAAATTAATAACCCCATTTTCCCTCCTTGTCACTATGTAGTGGTCTGAGGAAGAAGGGCCTGGTGGGCTGGGTATGTGCATGGTAAGAAGCTAGGACATCTGAGGCACAGATTCCTATATGTGAAGCTGAGAAGCTATTTTTGGTCTCTCCTGGAATGCAGAGGATGGTGGTTTATTCTAGTTTCATATAATCTTCAATTTTCACCTCCTAATGAACGGTATTCAGAATATGAGAAGATAGTTTCAGAATATACACATGTTCCTGAAACACTTGGCTCTCAAAAAGTTGTCAGCCGGACA